TAGTAAATCTACCATATATATAGATCTATCTACAAATTATATATTTGATTGGCTAAAAAAATTTTTAGCCATCAAATCACATAATTTATATTGCATAAATATTGTTATTTAAATAACTAAAGGTAAATTTACAGGGTAATTTACCAAATAGCTCAGGTAATTTACTAAAAAATTTGAAAATTACGGTAATTTATCAAGCCTGACTACAAATGACTGTTGCAAAAACTGTCATATAATGAGACAATTGGACTATATATATTATGCATTATTTTTTAATATCAATTATTAATTGATGCATTTCAATTTTCAATTTGAAATTGATATAGTGTTTTTCAATAAATATTTGTATAATATACAATTAATAAAAAAATTATTACGATGTATTTAAACTTATGCATATATTCAAATCTATGCATGTTTCACATTATTTTTTAATTTATTTCAATTATTAATTACCATATTAAAATTTTAAACTGACAGAATTTTAAAAGCACTAGTATAACCATTAATCGAGGGGAGATTCACATGATTTTTCACCTATGACCTTCTGAAAAGTCTTCAAATTTTTTAAGTTTTTTGCTGTTTTTGGTTTATAATTTTTTTATTTTTATTTTTTTTAAATAGAAACAGTTACTAGTTATAACAAATGTTGAAAAAACAAATTTGACTGCTAAATTATAGCAAATGATAAATTAAATATGAATTTTAAATAATATTGCTATATATTTCAAAGTGTAGATAACAGATAAAAAAAATATCAAAAAATAAATTCTAAAGCAAAAAAATATAAAATTAATATCAATCAACAATGTCAATTAAGTAATAGTGAACTATGTATTAAATTTTTGCAAAACAAAGACCAGTAAAAATATTCACTTCTAAAAAAAAAGTTATACTTATATCATGTTTTTTCTTAAAGTTTGAATTTATTTTTAGTTCAATATCATTGTTTTTGCTGTATAATGATAAATAAAAATATAGCTGACTCTTTTTATAGTGAACTAACTATTATAATAAAATTTTTAAAAGCTCTTTATATAGTAATTTTCTGTTTTTATACCAAATTCTATAATAAATTACTTTAAAAAATTCATTCTAAAAAGTTATAAAAACTATATAAAATGTTTGTTGAAAAGTTCAGTATAATAAAAGTTTGTTGAATTAATTTTTTATAAAAATAATTTGTTAAAAAGTTTATTATAAGAAATTTTAATAAAAGAAATTTGGTAAAAAAGTTGTAAAAAAAAAATCTATTGATAAAGTTTGTTATAAAAAATTTCAATAAAAAAGTTTGTTATAAGAAAGTTTATTGAAAAAGTTCATTATAAAAAGTTATAAAAAAGTTTGTTATATCTAAAAATTGATTATACAGATAGAAAAACAATAAATCGCATTATTAATATTAAGAGTTGCATCAGATCTGATAAAAACTAGATAGATAGAAAATCATGTGACTGTCTCTTGATTATTGGTGATGCTGGTGTTTTTTAAAATTTTGTCTTAGTCAGCATTTTATCTTGTCAGGATTTTATCTTGTCAGAATTTTATCTTGCTAGAATTTAATATATCAGGATTTTATCTTGTTGGAATTATGTATGTCAGGATTAGCACTGTTTGAATTTGTGCTGTCAGGATTTTGGATGTTAGAATTTTGTACTATATATATATACTTAATTGAACTTGAACATATTATAAACTTTTGAACTGAATCTGAACTGAATCTGAACTTGACTTAAAAGTTCAATAATGAATCTGAACTGAACTTTTTTTAAAAAATATTCAAGTTTAGTTCAATTTTAAACTAAACTTGAATTTGGCCAAAAGTTCAGTTTAGTTTAGTTTATATAAACACTATATATAATGAAAGTATTAAAATAAATAAAGTTATAAACAAAATTTCACCTAAACACCAAAAAATATATATTATTATATTTTATTTATAGGTTTATATAATTTGTGCATCTGCATTGTAATGCACTTATCTGATTAACCAATTAGATTGTAAAATCTGGTATAATATAAAATTGAAAAAATAGTAATGTTTTGAAAAAATCACTTGTAACTCATAAGTTGGCTTATGAAACCACCTTTTGTGTTTTAACAAACATAATATATATTTACAATTCAATCTAACTCTACATTAGTACTAACTCTTACTCTAAATCAATGTGTTGTTGATTTGTTTTGATTTACATTACACTGGATCTTATAAAGTATGTCACAACACAGATGCATCAAATAATAAAATTCTTATTTATATTATATTTTTTACAGCAAAAATTTTAATAATTAGTAATTTTATTATAGACAATTTCTATTTGTACACTATATACATATATATACACAACTATATATTAAGATTTAGAGCTAGATAAATTAGAGCATTGAGAAATAATTGCCAGTAATATTAGTATTAACTAGGGATGGGCCGTTGTACAAACAGAATTTTTTAAATGTTCAGAATAGTCCGGAATCTAACAATTATGGCCCACATTAACAAAAAACTCCATAATGCAGACCTGTGCAAGCTGCGCAGCCTGTGTAAATTCAAAAAATCTTCGATTTGCCTATCACTAGTATTAATGAACTACTTACATATGTATGTATAGTACTTAATTAAAGTTTTTAACAATGAAGATTAAAAGAAAAAATCTCAACAATCTAACAATAAATTTATTTAAATATTTAGATAGGTTTATTTACATAAATAATATTAATCATAGATAAGTGCTACTAAAAGGAAACAAGATTTTAGGCTATGAATTTTCAAGCTGAATTTACTTAGGCCAGACCAATTTAATTCGGTGTTTACGTTATATCCTTCTCACAAAAAGGGGCTGGAGAGAGTTTATTATAAATTTTTTTCGAAATGCTCCGCGATATTATAAAAGTTTTCCGAAATTTTTCGCACATATAGTGAGGGGGAAGGCAGAAGGGGGGTAATGTAAACCACCGAATTAAATTGATTTGGCCTTATTTCGAAGTTCCAAAAGCCGAAAATCTAGTTTTCTTTAATAGTACTTGAATACAAACGAAAAAAGGTTATCACTTTGTTTATTGCTTTTGTACATTTTTAAGTAAGACACATGCTGTGCTTAATAGCCAAATGCAAAATATTTTGATTTACTAGCATGGCTCAGTCTTTCTAAAGTCTCAGAAGGTTTGATCTTCGCCGAATTTTGACTTCCCAAGGGTTTCAACTTTACCAGAGGTTTCGTCAGAGTTTCGCCTGGTTTTGTCTTTCGCCTGATTTGTTTCGTCTTTCGCCATTTGCCAAAAATAGCTTCGCCTGCCAACATTAGCCAGTGAGCGGCTTTTTTCTCTCACATTTCGACATATTTAACATGATTTTCTTCCCGATCAGACGTAGTCTTATTGGGAATTGGTTAAATATTTTTGGTGATTTGTCTTTTGGCATAAGTTTTAGAACAATAATTTCGGCTTCTGAGGGTTTTAATTCGATACCGTTAACTTTGATTTCCTTAACGGTAAGTTTATTGTTCTTTTTAATACCCTTTCGGAAGTTGTGTGCAATAGGATCAATGAATTGATAAAGACTAATTTCTTTTCCAAGATACCGAATCTCATTTGGTCACGTGCCTTCTTGCATTATCTGCATAGTAGGTACGTACGAGAACTTTTTGTTTCTTTTGTTTCAAAACTTATCTTCTTTTGTTTGCACGACAAACTTGAGACCTATATCGATACTTAGTTTCAAGTACAGCTTCTTCATTTTGAATTTCTTAATTGATACCGCATTTTTTTGGTTAACATAGATCGTATCACCATTATTTGTTTCAGTTTGGCCTTTCTTTACAATAATGGGTTTGACTTTCTGTCCCTTTCTGATGGCGTCATGGTCAATTAATTGTAACTTATAGGATCTCTTAGGCGTAGCCTTAGTGATCTTCTGTACCTTCTTTCCTTTGTGAATAAACTTAACTGAGGTCTTCGATTTAGCGTAAAACTTATTCAAGGAATCTTTTTGTCCTTCCGAGGGGGTCACGAATTGAAGTTTGGGTCTATCAACAATTTGAACATTATCAATTTTATCTTGGTTTCTTGACACCAAGATGCTAACTTAATTTCAATTAAATTTAAAGTAGGAGCGTAGAATTTAACGTGAAATCTTTAATTATAAATATTGTCCGGTGTGGCATTGGTCAGGTTGTTTCTGGTCCTCGAAGCCCATAAGACGAAACAGTTACACTTACAAACGCCTTCAGTGCATTCTTTGCAGAAACCTTTGATTTTGCTAAATATGTTTATAATATTGCTACAATATTGCTACAATATAATTCTAATATTACAAAAGTTATTATATGATAAATATATATTAATTATATGTTAAAAATATTATTATTATATTTTAAAAATAGTTTTATTATTCTGTTAAATCACTTTTAATTTGATGTATATTATATATTTGTAATATAATTACAATATAGTTTTAATATTAAAATTATCTTTTTATAATCTAATAATAATTTAATAAAATAATATTTTAATAATATGATAGCAATCTGTTTAAAATAATCAAATAATATTAAAATAATATTACTAATATCTTAAAATTAACAATATGATAAAAAGATTGTTAAAAGTAACTTAACAGAATAAAAATATTTTAATTATATTTTAATTATAGTTTAACTATATTTTAATTATATTCTTATTATATTGTAAATATATTTAGCAAAATCAAAGGTTTCTGCAAAGTTGTAAGTTGACGCAATCATATTTTCTCAACTTAGAATAATGCTCAATACCACCATAGGTAAAGGTATTACCAAAATTGATCAAGGCATATAGAGGGAGCGAGCATCACACCATTGATTAACTTTTAATTGGCAAATGTTAATTCTTGGGCGCCATTTATATTGACATTATAAATTTGCCCGTCACAAGTATGTTCTTTTTTGCCTTTATTAAGAGTTCTATCATAATTGCACAATAAATTTTACCTGACTTGCACGCTTCTGTAATTTTATAATCAATTTTCATCCATAAGAGCATAAAATTTCTTTTTTAGTATTTTTGATGTAGTCCTTTTCACTTTTCTTAATTTCCTGAATTTTAGAATCATATTCATTCAAGAAAGGTTTTTTAGCATTGAATTCACATCCATAAATCAATTGTCCTTCCTTTGTCATCAATTAATTCTTCCTCCCATGGTGAGTAACACTATTGGGAATATAAAATATGATATGCACTGTGTGAGCTTACAAATGGACAGTATTATCAGTGTATAGAAATTCGGGTAGCGTCATTATGTACTACTTTCCACGAACTTCTCGACCGCTATCACTAAACGTGTAATTTTTTCCATTGAACATTCTAGGAGCGTAACCATCAAATGGAGCTGTAGATACGCGATTTAGACGATCATAATCACTGTAAACATAGCGGATATATAATGGCAAATTTGAAAATTAATTCTATTGGCTAACTCGGTATTCAATTGTAAATGCCATTGAAATTCTTGACAGGTCTTGATTTCGTTATCAAATTTAACGTGTAACCTAAGAGCAAGTTGATTTAAGCTCCAGTTTATCCCCTGTGTAAACATACGTTGCCAGTGCAAACGTGCATCGAAGATGCTATTAACGACTTTATCCTCGGTTTGGTAGAAATTCCAATTGGCTAAAGGACCAGAACGTAAATTAGCAATGAAAAATTGACGAGTTGTTTGAAATGTGGTAACTAAAATTATTTAATGTAGATGTGATCACAGATACGTGATTGAATGAACATTCCAGTCCACATCCAACTGTGACATAAATAGAACGCTTCGAATAACGATCTTGGGGATTATAGGAAGTGAGATCCAATTTACTTACTTTTGTTGTATTATCATCATTTTCACGTAAATATTCCTTAATCCATTTCAACCTCATCAATCGTATGGTTACTTGTGTTAGAATTTTGGAAAATCTCAATGCATCAGATTGACTAACAACCTGTAGAACATCGTAATTTAGTTCGAGTTGTATTTGTTCTTCAGTTGTAACTCGAGAAATTTATTCTAATTCACTATGATTTGCCTTTCATTCTAGAGTCGTATTGTTTTCAAATTAATCATTGCTTCTGAACCTTCTCCTCCAGCAGGAATGTTAGTGGTTCTAACTTCTTGTTCTTGTTACTACCATTAATGTTTTGTCTGTAGGTCGTTTCTTGCATGTTTACACCTGGTGGTAGAGCAACACCCATACCAGACGGGATTGGGACAGTTTGATTTGCTGGGACTGATACATTAAAAGTATATCCACTATGATCGTGATTCGCAATCAATTGGATCCCTTGAGCTATTAACCATTGAATGGCGGCAATGTATTGGACATTGACAATAGCTTGAGGACCCGCAGCACCAATAAATTGTTGTGGCACAATAACTTTGATGCGATGGTTTTGTTGTAAATTGACCTTACCACCAATTGTATTGGTTATTTCTCGAGTAATGGTAATAGTTTCGGTACTTGGTCTAATTATCTTAAAGGTTATAATTCTTTTGGATGGTTTAGTCGTAGACTCAATCATCTGAATTGAAGTAATACCTAATTGACTTGACCAAAACGGTGATTTTTAATCTGGTCATTGATGAGCGATGATACGGCTTTATTTGAACTGCCTATAACACAGATTTCATCCTTGATTGTACGACACTTGGTTGTTGTCCCGGTTGTATCATGGCATTAGCTGGGCGGCTGGTACAATAGTTTCTACATTATATTGGGGCAAATGACAGTAGTAGACATTAACATAAAAATTAATGTTATGGTTAGTTTCATTGTTCGTGAATTGTTCAAAAGTTAAACCTTTTAACAATTCATACGTATTTTTACCATTGGCCTTATTTCCAATACAACCAATTGGTATATCGTTTTGCCACATTGGTTTGGTCGTGATGTGGCTAAATAGATTACTTAGTTGGGCTCTATATCCATATATTCTATTGTTTCCAATATAATATTTGGCCCAATATCTTTCAAGCGGGGAGAGAGTCTCAAACCTAGAATGTCCTTTAACTCCAAAGGTCTGGTCAAAACATCTCAACTCATTGTTTTTACAGTCAAGATGTAATTTACTATGTCCACTGGGGAAGTTCGAACTTAATTCTTGAAGCGATGGTTGCGTAGCGAAAGTCACTTTTGTTGCTTTATCATTCGAAAAGTCACCGGTCATGATCGACAGCGGTAATGGTGAGTAGACATACTGTAACGGTTGGTTTGGGAGAGCAACGCACAATGAATGCGCAGTGTAGCTCCAACTGCTACTAGAAGTTAGGTGGATTGAATAATAAAAGGTTTCTATAGGGCATAGTAATTCTATTAGGGTGACTTAATGATGGTGTGAAATTTAGGTTATGTCTATATTACTTGATTATAAGAACGAGGTTCTCCTGTTTATTAGAATAAATGCTTCACTTTTATACATTTTGATTAATATGTAAGAGAACACATTCTGGAACCTACTTTATGACATCAGAGGCACCACGCTATCGTGTTGGCCTCATGTCAATATGCACACTGCCTCCTTCGAGGGCTTTAACAATCACAATACTAATTTAGTTACACCAAAAAAGAGTGATTATAAAACAAGATATTAAATGATGACTGCTCAGTTTCGTCTGAGCTTGATAATTTAAGTGACCAAGAGGGAGAGCCAAAGTGATGGTTTCGATTTCGATGACCATCTTATACCATTAGCCCTAACAGAAACACGAAGGCATCCTACTCATTTGGAGAAAGAAGTTACATTTTATAATGTCAATCTAGTAATCGGTTCAATAATTGGATCTGGTATTTTTGCTTCTCCGGGTCCTGCCGTAATGCACGCAGGATCAGTAGGAATGTTATTAATAGTGTGGCTTACATGTGGTTTGTACTGGTGCTCTTACATATGCTGAATTGGGTTCTGAAATACCAATATCTGGTGGTGAACATGCTTATTTATCACATGCTTATGGAAGTCTTCCTACTTTTTTATTCAGTTGGACTGCTATAACCTGCTTAAAGGTAATGAATTATTTGATTTTTTTTAAAAAAATCTTTATTTTAATGTTATCATGACGGTTTAAATAACAACCAAATTGTTAATTGTTAGCCAGGAGGTAATGCGATTATAGCAATAATATTTGATATATCATACAGCCTTTGAGAGTGAAGAAAATCATCCTTCTCCATCAGCACATAATATTTTAAATAAAATTGTAGCAATCATTTGTGTCATAGTGATTTTCTTAATAAATACATATAGTATCCGTCTAGCAACAAGAACTCAAGATTTTTTTACCGCCTTAAAGTTAATTACTCTGGTTGTTATAGCAATTATTGGTTTTGTTGTTATAGGCCGAGGTGGCATGACAAAGAATTTTGATGGTGATTTATTTGCTGAGAGTTCTACTCGGGCGAGTGATTATGCCTTAGCATTTTATTCAGGTTTG